CCCTGATAAACACATAAAGCATTCCTCTTACACTGGAAAGTGGCCTCACGTCTCTTTCTGGTTTCTGTTTGTCAGAGATAACCACTATTCTTATTTTTATTCCTAGATTAGTTTGCCTTTTCTCGAACTTTGTAGAAATAGAATTGTATGGTAAGTTTTATTTCGAGTCCAACTTCTTTTTCTGAGCATAATAGTTTTTGTATTTATTCATTTGCAAGTGTGTGTCAGTAGCTCATTGTTTTTATTGACAAGTAGTACTCCATTATATAAATTTACCACAACATAGTTAGTTATTCCTACTCCTTACTGATAGACCTTTAGTTTGTTTCCACTTTTTTGTCTCATAAAAAAGCTGAAGTGGACATACATACACCCACCTTTTTATGTCCAAGATGTTTAATTTTAAATTTAATCTATAATGAAGTAAGAGCATTGACACTTAAACTTTAGTCAAGTGGGTGCCTTGAGTAGAATCAGAGTATAAAGAAGATCAACAAGGATGGGTGCAATGCATTCAATAGGCTTTTTCGGCCAGGAAAACATCAGGACTCACCAAAAGCTCTCCACTGCAGTGCTCTCACATTAGCTCCCAGCACTTCCACCAGACTGCTTTGGGAGCTGTCGTGGAAGTAAATAAACATCAGGTAGAGGCGTACTGTGGAAAGGCATGCTTGGAGCCAGACATAGCTGGGTAAAGTCATGACACAGTTCCTAAGACAAATTAATTGAGCTGAGCCCCAACCCTCAGTCATCTCATCTATAAAATCATTCCCATCTTGAAAGGTATACAAATTAAATGGAGTGTACTAGTTAATATCATGCCAAATTTAATTTGCACAGAATGTCATCAGAGATACGGTAATTTACATATACATATAAACATATATATACAAAATAAATATACATGTGTATATATGTATGTGTGTGTATATATTAGACAAAATACATTCAGACTGCAATTTGAGCACTAGTTTATACTGTATAGATAGTGGGATGATTTAAATTTTAAAAACTTTTTTTTGTTTGTTTTATGTCGGTGATTCTGTGGTTGAGCCTACATAAGAAAAGCTGATGCACTAAATTGAACATGCTCCAATGGATAATCCTCCTAATGTCAATGGCTTAAAAAATAAACGTCTGATCCTCATTTTTCTGGTCAGTGATAGGATTAGGGACTGTTCTCCATACCACGCTATAGGCTAGCCAGGCAGGCCATCCTATTGTCAGGCAGATGGAGTTCTGACATCTTCAACATGTAGGCTTCCAAGTCACATTGGCCATAAGCATGAAAATAGCAAATGGAGGAAAAGAGATAGGATCATATTGTGGCAGATTTTATTTTGGGGAGGACCAATCATTTCCATTCTTTTCCACCTGCTGTAATTCAGTCACTTGGCAGTACCTAACTGCAAGGGAGGCTGGGAAATATGGTGTCACTCTAAGTAGAGGAAGAAGAGGGAATAGTTGGTGGTCACTTAGCAACACCAGGCATATACAAAGCATTCCACAAATGTTAGTTTCCTTCTCCTTTCTTTAATAACTAATGGGAGGACTCCCATAGTCTTTTTTTCTCAAGAACTATTTTCTTATTCCATGTAGAGCCCATTAGTCTAGCATGTGAATCACTCCCTAATCACATAGAAAAATCCCAGGGTACACTTTGAAAAAGAATCAGTCATATTTTCCACATGATCCAGGAAAGCACAAATGTAAATTGATATCTCTCACCTTATTTAAAACTGAGATTAGAAGAAGCTACTGAAGCTAATTCTGTGCTTCATGACACCAAATCAAAGAAGGAAATATGAGCAAAGAGTTTGTAGTAGAACCCTTGAAAAGATTAAGATATCCTCCCATGTGATATTTAAGTTTTTTAAGCTATAAGATACTTCAATAAACATTTTTTTCATGATGTTTAATTTGATGTATTTTAAACAAAATTTGAAAGAGCACATCCCTTAAAAAATGATTTTGGTTAGCAAAGACATGGACTCAACCCAAATGCTCATCAATAATATACTGAATAAAGAAAATGTGGTACATAGACACAGTAGAATACTACACAGCCATAAAAAGGAATAAAATCATGTCCTTTGCAGGGACATGGATAGAGCTGGAAGCCATTATCCTCCAGACACTAGATATTCTCACTTATAAGTGGGAGCTAAAAAATGAGAACACATGAGCACAGGGAGGGGAACAACACACTCTGGGGCCTGTCGGTGGGGCTGGGGGAAGGAGAGCATCAGGATAAATAGCTAATGCATGTGGGGCTTAATACCTAGGTGATGGGTCGATAGGTGCAGCAAACCATCATGGCAAACGTTTACCTATAGAACAAACCTGCACATCCTGCACAGATAACCCAGAACCTAAAATTAAATTCCATTAAATTTTTAAAAAATGATTTTGGTGTCTTCACTCTGTAGGCATTGTAAGTATATGCTTGTCATAGCTGTTGGCTAAATCCAGCATTGATTACAGCTCTTGTGGGAGCCAACTACAGTGTTAGCAATGACAAAAGTCAAACATTTTGGAAGGATAGACAAATTTCAATCTAAACTCTTAGAGGAATTTGTCCTGCGATTTATATAAAGTACAGTAAAAGTAATAATAATTTATTACTTGCTGGTATCTAACCCCAAAATGAAAAGATGTTGAATATTTCTTAATGTGGATATGTAATGACCAGATGAAAAATACTTCAGAAAATTCTCTTCTCTCGTGATGACATATTCCTAGCTACCTCAATCCAGAAGTCGCACAGAAGTAGTTAAACCTCTGAGTCCATTATTGTCAGGAGAAACTTTTACATATTCGTAAGGTGAAAATCTAAATAGTTAGATTTGTTTAATGTGCCTAAGCATCACGATAGATAGTATTAAACTCAAAAGATTCAACTAAAATGGTCATTTGGAGTTTTATTTTGCATCTAACGGACAGTTTATGGTCCTTTTCTCCTGGAAATTCAGCATTCCCCAAGGAGATTCTTTTATGTTAAAGGCTGGCATTTGATTAACTCTTAGAATCAGTCATTGAAGACCATGGTCATCTCTTTCACATTTTTTAAATTTAAAAAAAAATTGTGACTATCCAAACAAATCTACATTTTCTTATCAAAAAGGCTTGACCCTAATTGAGGGACCCCGTAACCAACACTGAGTAAGCAAAAATTCCCTAGCCAAAGAAGTCAGAGCCTTGGTATTTGATAGGAAAGCACTGTCTTTTGCATCATTGGCCCTGATATCTAAAGCATCTGGTTTCTTTTCAAATAAAAACCATACCTTATCTATTTTTAGGTGGAACCAGTGAGGCCAGGAATATCTTGCCTGCTGTGCAGATCTACTCAAATGCCCAACTGAGACCATTAACTTTCAAGGGAATACAGTTGAAGGCAGGTTTAGTGGCTCACGCTTGTAATCCCAACACTTTAGGAGGCAAAGGCAAAAGGATGGCTTGAGCTTAGGCGTTTGAGATCAGGCTGATCAACAGGGTGAGACCCCATCTCTATTAAAAATTGTAAAAATTAGCCATCCATGGTGGAGCCTGACTGTTGTCCCAGCTACTCAGAAGGCTGTGGTGGGAGGATGGCTTGGGCCCATGTGGTTGAGCCTACAGTGAATTGTGATTGTGCTACTCCACTCCAGCCTGGGAGACAAACAAGATCCTGTCTCAAAAAACATATAAATTTAAATTTAATTTTTTTAAAAAAATTGAAATGATAATTATTCACTCACTTGTAGGCAGCTCCAAATTTATTCATGTTTCTCGTCATAGCACCAGCAATCTGTTGCCTCCACGGGCTTTTTATACAACTGAAACTTGCTATTATGCCCTCCTCATATTTTAAAATAATATTATTTTCTGACAATTGATACCTACTAATTTTAGAGAGAAAAAGAGAAAATATAGTGCAGGGCAAGAAAGAAAGTTAAAATTATTTTTAAACTTACCACCTAGCTAATTGAGGTTAAGATTTGGGTGTGTGCCTCTCCAATCTTTTAGTTATAGATGTAATTAAACACCCTCTGTACCTTTCTGATGCCTATGTTCCCTTCAACCCTTACCCTTCCCTAGTCAAGTAGTAACTGGTAATACCTCTAGGGCTTCTCTAGATCATTAAAAATATTTTAAAACCTAATCTTTCATTGCTGCATAGTGTTCTTCTACATCTATATATCATAATTTCTTTATTCCTTTTTGTATGTTAACATTAAAAAATGTGTATCTTTGACTAAATTTCTGACCATTTCCTCAGTAAATATTCCTAGAAATGGAATTACTACATCAGAAATCACACAAATTTTTAAGTTTTAAAATTAATTATCAAATTACTTTTCAGAAAATTTGAACAGATGTAAATCTTTACAATATAGCACATGGCCATGGCTGTCACCGACCCACAGTAGCATTAAATAGTATTAGAGTTTGTTTTCTGATAAAGGGCCTCTCAGTTTAAGGCCCTCCACTTCTTTTGAATTATTATATAACAAGTAACCATTCTTCACGCAAGCCTTAACTTTTGTGTAAAAAAAAAAAAAAAAGACATAAATATTTAGAGAATATATATAAATATGCAGTTTCTCATCAAGCTTGTTAATAGCCATTTTTAGTGAAAAGTATTGAATTATATTTATTTTGACATTGCAAAAGTATCAAACAGTACACACAAGTATGTGAACAAAATAATGTTTTTCATTTTTTATTTTCAAAATAACATAATTCAAAATATCAGTTAAATGTAATGTAAAAAAATCAATACCTTCAAATATATAAGTCCTTTGCCTGAAGCTCTGCAGATCCTTTTGGTATGGCTACAAAACCTCAAAGTTCGGATGAAAAAATTCACAGGAAAAGGAGATTCTAACTTGAAAGAGTAACCTGATTACATTGATCTCTGCTGATGGAATGAACACCTTTGTCTTCCTTATTTCATTGTAACATTTCACTAAAATGTAAGCAGTTTTTTAAAAAACAATGCTGTAAAAAGGTGTCATCAGATCCTTTTGTGGTTCGTAAGAATGATGATTGCGTTTTACACTCATTTGTAAGATGTGCCTTCCTCAAACCTTGTTACAAATGATGTTAGCACATTACCCGTCTGATGTCGGGGGGAAAGGGGCATCAGTGGGTCAAAAATTCTAAAGAATTCCTAGAGGATTGAAATCAGATAGGATTTATTTGAATAGAAAATTTAAAAAGTAAAGAATTAGCAGCATTTCTTTTGGGAAATCCTGAAGAAGCTCTGAGTTCAAAATCAAGATGTTAAAGAGCAGGTGTGGGCCATGGGACAATAAGTGGAAATAAATTTTAAAAGTGCTGACGGCCCCACCTAGATGCTCCCACCACTCCCCAGATGGAGACTTCCACGTAGGATGTAGATGGGGGAATGCTTTCAGGAGTAATATAATACCTGTAAATGGAGGAGGGAAATGGAATCAGTAGATGGACAAGTTGAGCTGTGACTCAGTTGCAACAGAAGCCTCAGTTGATTCCACAGGGAACTCTGAAGCAGTAATGGCCCTTGAGACTTGCCCTGAATTAAGGTAAGTGATTGAAGTCTTTGTACTCAAGGTTGAATGGTCTTTGGATGTGGGCTGCTCTTGGTAGTGAGTATAATTTTGGGTGAGGCCATTTCCTTCAGCAATTCCTACAGAGGAACTCAGCTGAGTTCTCAGCAAGCAACACTCCGAGAGCTGAGCAAATGAATGTTCACCTTCCAAAGCCCACTACTCACCTGAACATTCTTCTCTAAAGAGAATGTGAATCTGTCTGGAGACGTGCTGATGTGTGCACTGAGAGAAAAGTGCAGAGCAGAATTTTACATTATTTCATAATTTGAAGTCAAACATGAAAGATCTCTCAAAAATGGCAGTTTAGCCTACAAATAACTTGCATTATAATCTCTACATCCAGAATAAAGCGTCTTCCCTTAGGCAATTTGACTACCTCATTTGCCCCCACTTTGGGAGGATATAATAGAATTTATAGTATCCACATTTTTTCCTAAACAATGCCTAATATAAAACAAATATAGCAGTCATCCCAAGAAGGAGGACCACGAGAAAGATTAGAGAATGGGACTAGAATAATAAATGACCCAGATATTACAGTCATAATAAATGGACTTAAACCAACTGTTATTAATATATTCAAGAAAACGTTAAAAATTTTATATCAGAGGACAAAAATATATAGAAAAGAATAAAATGAAAACTCAAGAACAAAAACACAATAGCTAAAATTAAGATCTCAGTAGATAGGTTTAACAACAGAATGGATGCAGCTGAAGAGTATATTTGTGAGAGGGAATATAGGTTGCTAGTAAGTAACTGGATTGAAATACAATGAGAAAAATGGATAGGATGCAGAAAAGAACATAAGGTATATATGGGACCAATAGAAATTTCTAACATGTGTATTGTTGAAGTTCTGAAAGGAAAGGAGGAGAAAGAATAAAGCAGAGCAATACTTGAAGAGAAAATGGCTGATAAATTTCCAAAACTGACTAAAGACATAAAGCTACATATTCAAAAACTGTGCAAAATCCAAACTATATTAAATGTAAAGAAAACCACACCAAGATATATCATAGTAAAGCCATGAAAACCAAAGACAAAGATAGAGTCTTAAAATCAGAGGATAAAAAGTATATGAGGAGCAACAATAAGGCTGACCACGATTTCTCAACAGTGATGATGGAAACAATCACAGAAATAATAAATGGCATCTATCTTTAAAGTCCTGAAAGAAAATAACTGCTAACTTCAAATTCTGTTGAGTGGGAGTGTTCTTCAAAAGTGAAGATGAAATAAAGACATTCCAGACACATAAAAACTGAGAGAATTTATCACCATCGGGCCTGCACTAAAAAAAAAAAAAAATGGAAGTTCTTTAAGAAGAAAGATAAAGTCCTTGGCAAACTAACACAGGAACAGAAAACAAAATACTGCATGTTCTGACTTATAAGCGGGAGCTAAATGATGAGAACACGTGGACACATAGAAGGGATAACACACACTGGGGCCTATTGGAGGGCAGAGAGCAGGAGGAGGGGGAGGATTAGGAAAAGTAATTAATGAATACTAGGCTTAACACCTGGGTAATTAAATAATCTGCACAAGAAACTCCATGACACAACTTTACCTGTGTAACCAACCTGCACTTGTACTACTAAACTTACAATAAAAGTTAAAAAAAAGAAGGATAATTAGCCCAGATGGAAACATGAAAATATAGGAAGTAATGAAAAGCAATAGACAGTATAAAATATGTAAATAAGTCTACATTGGCTATATACATAATAACAACAAAAATATTAATAATGCCTTGTAGAGTTCAAAATATGTATAGAATAAAATACACATTACAAAAGATAAACAAGAAATAAATGAATTTAAAGTATCCTAAGTTCTTAATATTGTATGGTAAGGAGCAAGAATTCCACATATTAATAAGTCAAGAAGTCACATTGTGTGACCACTTAGAAGATATTAGATATGTGTAACTAGCATACTTATAGATGAGAAAAATGGAATGATAAAAAATACTTGATGGATTCAAGAGAGAGCAAGAAAAGAGGAAAGCAGAACGGGGGGCAAATAGAAAACAGGAAAAGGATAGTTATAAACCTGATATATTAGTAGTTATATTATTTATTGATGGACTAAACACTTTAATTAAAGAACAAACAAGAACAGGGATTTTTAGACTGGATAACAAATTATCTTTAAAATTTTTTTTCTATTCTAATTTTTAATTTTTGTGGGTACTTGGTGTATATATCTATAGACTACATGAGATATTTTGATACAGGCATACAATGTGTAATAATTACAGGAGGGTAAAGGAGATATCCATAACCTCAAGCATTTATCATTTCTGTGTGTTACAAACATTCCAGTTATACTCTTTTAATTATTTTAAAATATACTATAAATTATTATTGATTGTAATCACCCTGTTGTGCTCTCAAATACTAGATCTTATTCATTCTATCTAACTATATTTTTGTACTCATTAACCATCCCCACTTTACCCTCGAGTCCCCACTACCTTTCCCAGCCTCTTATAATCATCATTTTACTCTCTATCTTCATGAGCTCAATTGTTTTAATTTTTGGCTTCCACAAATGAGTGAAAACATGTGAAGTCTGTCTTTCTGTGCCTGGGATATTTTATTCATTTAATAAAATGTCCTCCATTATATTAACTTCCATCCATGTTGTTGCAAATGACAGTATCTCATTCTTTTTTATGGCTGAATAGTAAGTATTCCATTGTGTATATGTACCACATTTTCTTTCCATTCGTCTTTTAATGGACACTGAAGTTGCTTCCAAATCTTGGCTATTGTGAATAATGCTGCAACAAACATGGGAGTACCGCTATCTCTTCAATATGCTGATTTTCTTTCTTTGGAATATATATCTAGCAGTGGGATTGCTAGATCATATGGTGGTTCCATGACCATACCGTTCCCCATAGTGGCTGAACTAATTCACATTTCCCCCAACAGAATACAGGTGTTATCTTTCCTGGCCAGCATTTGCTATTGCCTATCTTTTGGATAAAGCCATTTTAACTGGGGTGAGATGATACCTCATTGTAGCTTTGATTTGCATTTATCTCATGATCAATGTTATTAAGAACAAAAAATTATCTCTTAATCTCCAAATCAATGCCAATGTCTTTATTGTTTACTTTCTGAAATGAAGAGTTTACTCACTTTCCTTTAGAGGTTGTAATATGTTCAAAGTTAGTGTTCTCTATCACCAAAATTGACTGCAAAGGTACATCTGTTAATGAAATTAGATTTTATGTATTTCATCTTTGAAAATGTCTTTTTACACTGATAGGTGCTGCCAAATATTGGTATCAGTCCATGGGCCTGTAATTTTAATTGAGCATATTAATCATTTGGAAGGCATTGTGGAATTCTATTACATTCTTTTCTTGATAGTTGTCTTTTATATCATTTCATTACATTGCAGATTAATCACTTCCAATTGAAAGTTAGATGGAAGCTCCTTAATTGCTTTAGTTAAATGAATTTCCTTGCGTGTTAAATAAATTTTGAAATATGCAAATTTCCTTTGTACTTGCACTGAGGTCTGAAAAACATTACCAGAACTGTAGTTTGAGCTTGCAGAATATATCTGCTGCAAATTTGTGGGAGAATGAAGATCTCACTTCTGCTTTAACTTTTGATAGCATGGGAAGTGTATAAAGCATTCTAGGTGTAACCAAGAAAAATAACTTGAGCCCTTAGAATTGACATTTTATTTATTTAGGTGGCTAATTCTTACTGATAGCACCTGTGAATTAGAAACTTGTATTAATCATAGTAAAACACAATACTATGATCAATTTAAATTAAATTAACTTTTATATTTAATTTTGTTATCTACAACACAATTTACAGATTGTCTCTATAAAACACTTTTCTCACACATTATTTGTCATAGTTAATTTTTAGAGTTCTATAGCCTTTTGGAGTATATTTTTACCATTTTCCTTGTTCTCCTGCAGCAAAGCCTTCATTGACTTCTGGTTTGGAATTTGTATTAAGGATTTTGGAAACCAAAATGGACTAGATAGAATTAGTCTTGTAATTTAAGATGTTGCCTCGCTAATTTTCAGTGCACCATTCACCTTTAAATCATGCTGAAAGAGAAAATGGCAAAATTAGAAACTCATTGACCTCTTTGCACTTTTTTCATTAGAATTAATACTCTTTTTTGCCTTACTTTCTGTATTTGTAAAATGGGGATGATGACACCTATTTTAAGGTCTATAGGAGAAATGAGTTTAGTGCATATGGAGTATTTGCTATTATAGATCTTCAATATATTTTATTTCTTGTTTATTAAATTACTTAAATGTAACACTAAACATTACTTTAAAATTTTTGCATATCTATATTTCTTTTATCTTGGTACATCTCAAAGAATTGGTTGTTTATGTATCAATTCACTCTCTTCTTTAAAGTATGAATTGCAAACACAGTACAATTTTATTACTTTTAGTCCTCATGTTTTATATTAGATCTCTTGACTGTTTATCTCACACATATGCTTAAGTCTACTTTAATCATATCCTAGGGAA